ATTAAATTATAACATATTTGGTAAAAAAATCCTTTTTTCCACCTTCCATTCCCCTCAAATCAAACATACTCTTAGTGTAAAGTTGAGACAACATATATAGTTAATTAATAACAATAGATCTTTTTATATTTTTTTTAAATTAATTAATCCATCCCTATATCATGGAAAAATAAAAGGAAAAAAAAAGCTTTTTGTATCGTATATATGGATTATTTGTTTAAATATAATTAATAGTTGATAACTAATATTTTAACTAATAATTGTTATTTAAAATTCAAAATATTTAATATATTTGATTTGAACGAACAACTATAAATATTTGTAAACTGACAAAACAAATACTCCTTTAAATTATTATGTAATGTTGTGGTTGTATCTCTTTTTTTTAATGTATTTTTTATTTCGAAGACTATGTTAGTGTGATTGATAATTACTTTGAAAATGTGTTATATATATAAAGTGTTAAATTATATAAAAATTTATTAAAATTAATTAATTTATCTTAAATTAACATATCAAAAGAAAATTTTGTAGCAACGTGGTATGGGAAAAAGCTACAATCGACAACAATCCTAAATGCAGCGTTTTTGGGATTCAATCGATTTTAACCAAGAATCATGATTGCCTAGATAATATAACCCACAATGAGAGATTCGAACTAAGTCCATTGAAAAAGAATATGTATAGTAAGCTCCCGCAAGAATATCGACAAAAACCGACATTTAATTCTTTACCTTATAAAGTTGATATGTTTTAACTCTTCACATAACATGATAGTTTTAACTCTTTTATTTTACAAAATTAATAAGTTTTAACACTGAATTTTACAAAGTTAGTAAGTTTTAACTATTTACTTTATATTATGATATTTTTAACCCCTCATTGATACGAATTAAAGAAATTAGTCTTTACTTAACTTTAAGTTATAACGTTTTGTCAGTTGACTGTTAACATCTGTTAGCATTCCGTTATAAAAAAATGAAATTTAAATTCAATTTTATTTGTTAGTTCTATTAACGAAATATTAACGGATGCTAACAATTAACTAACAGAATTGACAGTCAACTAACATAACTAATAAAACATTATAATTTGATGTTAAATAATGGTTATTTTCTTTAATTCGTACAAATAAGAGGCTAAAAATTTCATACTATAAGGTGAAGGACTAAAACCTACTAACTTGGTAATGTGAGGAATTAAAACGTACCAACTTTGTAAAGTAAAGAGTTAAAAGTGCCATCTTATAAGGTTAAAGGCTAAAACTTACCAATTTTGTAAAATGAGGGACTGAAAGTTGGCTTTAGCCCAAGAAGATCAATCTCTATCTTGATTATGTTTTAAATTCTTATTAATGAGTTATTAATTTATGCGAAAAAAATTCGACTTCTCTTAAATAAGATTTTAAATTTAAGTTTTATAAATGAAAAAATAAATAGTAAGAAAATTTTTTCTTATAAGATTCGATCTAACTTGATTTAAATTAGTCAAAAATTAATGTGATTTTTGGATATAAAAAAATTTAGCATAAAAAAATAATTATGTTTTAAATTCCTATAACTCTCAATGAGTACGCAAGATGATGTGTTCCGAATTTGTATGACTTATTGTCCATGGGGAAGAAAAAATAAATGTTCTGATACGATGAATCTAATTAAAGGAAAGAAAATTAATTCACAAAATCAGATCAGCTAGCTGCACGATCGACCCGACGACCCACAACATGCGACGCTGCCGCAATCTGTGACTCTTCGCCGAAGGCATATTCTTCACCCTCACGTTATCCTTCAATAATTTTCTTTTTCTTTTTTATTTTTATTTTTATTTTTTTTCATCCAAACTCGCTTATTAATTAGCAGATGCTGCAACAAACAGACAGTACTATTAGGGAAAAAGTGAAAAACATCCAAGCTTTTTAAAATTTTTTTAAAGTCTTTAGGTGTATAGAATATTTTTTTGATAAGTTTGTACATATTTTGAAACCAATTGATTCTACACCTTCTTACATTAAACCATTTATTAGATAATGCATAATCACAACCCCACCATTGAAAATGTTTCATCCAAAAAGTAGTTTTACACTTTGCAATGTTATGAACTAAATTTAGGACACCAAGGAAATGTCATGTGCAATGAGATCGTATCTTTGATGGAAGAAATTGGAAGTCATCAAAATGTACTCGATCTCTTGAGAAAATGATATGGTCCTACTTTATTTTGACGTTCACGTAATGTATCATCTTGAAACACAGTGATAAATAATCATTTTCTTTATTTTAGTTCTTTAAGTTCACAGTTATTCCACTCAATCAGGGAGAACCTTTTGAAGCTATAATGGTTATAGTTGATTTTTGCTTATGAACATTGTCATTATTGTATGTCAAATGATCGTATCTTTACATTTGTTGAAAATAAAAACATGATATTTCTATTATTAGAAATAATTAGATTTGATTTTATGTGTCAATTTTAGTTTAATAGAATTAATTTCATTAAATATATTAAGTTGATGTATGAGATAAAATTTTAAGATTATTTAAAAAATAATTAGTTTCAAAAAATTCATAAAAACTAAGTAAAAAAAGCCTTAATCATCCAAAAATAAAAAATCTTATGAAATTCTCATGGTATGTTCTACCTAAAATGTATTAGAAAATGTGATAATGGGTTTGATCCCTAAGTAATCAATGTAATCATAATTTAATAATGGTATAATAGATGTCTATCGGCACACATAATCTTGTCTACCGGAATTGTACGGTCCTATTTTTGGGGAGAAATGATGATAAAAAATGGTTTGAGAGGAAGATTTACCCCAACCAAACCCCCAGCTTCCAGAAGTTCTTGAATGTTAGCTCCATCCTCACTTTTAATTTGAAGAACAGCTGAACATGCGTTTACCCACTTCCTGATCTAAACTGTCGTCTCAACCTCAATTCTCGCCTTTGAAACTGAAACATTTGTCCTTATTTTTAGTGCAGTGTTA